TCTCTCTCTCTCTCTCTCTCTTTACTCGAGGAACGTCGATTACATCGAGTTATCGTTCGGGACGTGACTGGTCCAAGGCTAATAATCACATCTCGAGTCTTTTCAGCTTTCTTCTCTTTTCCTTCGCAGTCGACGCTTCTCTTGGCACACGAGATTGTGTGAAAACGACGGCTGACGATGTTAAAACTACACGCGTTTCCCGCGAATTCGATGTGGAAAGCTTTCCATTAGTTTTTCTTTGCTCGTTTTCGTTACAACACGCGGTATCAGCAGGATCGTGAGTCAATCTGGGTGTGCTGGAATCACACTCGAGGGAATCTCGAATTTATCCTCGACTCGAACGGAAACTACACAACTCGTGGAACATTACGCATTACGAGAGGGGTTCGTTATGAATTATCGATCGAATCGAGCGCGCGATTAAAGACAGGATACTGGCAGGATACTCAAGATCCTGCGAGCCTACAATTTGACACCGGTGGAAAATTATGATCGGCCAACGATTTGCATCCGGCCGGCGCGGTTCGGTTACAGCAAAAGTAATTGAAAACTGGAACCAGTCCGCCGTATCGGTGAAAAAAACGCGCAAGGTCTCCCACGGCAGAACTGGTTCTGTTTAAAGCCACGGCCATTCGATCCCTCCTTCTCGACGACACGCTGTTCTTGCTGTTCACCTACATTCCCCGTTCCTCTCAATGAGGAATTATATTAATTGCATCTCCTCTCGACGACGCGCATCTATCATTCGAATTTGAAAAAATGATAATTGCCTGTAATCTCGCATGTTAATACGCCGTTTATAACTTTCTCAGGCTGTGTTTCAACAATTGCGCTCTAGATTCTTAGATTTTTACCCTTCAAGAACTTGATTCTCGTGAGAGTCATTGTTCAATTTGTCTAAAGTATTACCCAGTTCAAGATCATAGATTGTAATTTATTAATTTTATAGTTATAGTCGTAATTACGCGGCAAAGTGGACCTCTTTGAAACAGCTAATACTTTGCAAACATACAACTTTCAAATGAAATAAATATCCTGCAACTTCCACAGAAAGTTCTCTGGTAAATTTCGAAGTTTTCCAATTATAATCGTGGCATGGGCATTCCCTTTCATTATATATGAACAATATAATATTATATTGTTATAATATTGTTGTTACATTGTTCCCTTTCGTTGTATTACACCGTCAAACGGAATTTCGTACAACGCGCGTTACATTGTACATATTCGTAAAAGTTGTCTAGAAACGAGCTACTTTCGTGAAGCTGGCATCGCGTCCCAAGACAGAAATAACAGTGTCGTATCAGAATGGAGAAACGGAGCCGGGTGTCCGTCATCGTCTCTGATCTTCCGAAATGTAAGGCTGCCTCGTCTGAGAACGTGCAAATTATTCCCGTTCATCCTCGCGCGTCCCGGTTCGTGTACTTATCCCGCTGGTTGATGGTGCCTAGGTCCGAGACAGCGTGCGTGATTGCTGAACGGTAGATCGGATTGCTTCTCGTTGGTGGAGTACGTTCTAAGATCTGCTTGCTTCGTGCAAGCCTGCAATCCAGGATCGTTCTCTTCGGTTGCTCTCGTTTCACCGTTCTACAGCTGCCACGACTCCTGCCGTTACCCACGTTCTCCGTCGATTCGGAACATTTTCTCTCTCTCTCTCTCTCTCTCTCTTCTCTCTTCGTCTTGTTCCATCAAACGCCTCGAAACGAGAACCAAATCGAAACGATAGAATTCCGAAAGACAGACATGGGTTCTTGACGGGCATGGCTACGCTGTTTCGACCGTCCTTGAAAGATGTTTAATGTTTTATGCGGGCTAGTCGGAGAAGATATTGGTAAATTGGAGGTAAAGTGATTGAGAGCTGGATTTGATCAGTTTGAATTTCTTATGTATCTTTGTACGTTTGAAGTGCTTCTCTCAAACACTATAAATGAATGTCGCATCAATCTTCTCCTGCGTTGAGCATTCCAGTATGAATCATTGACAAATTTGATTACTTTTCGTATTGCTGGAAAACTGCATCCCTGAGAGATGCGATTTCGTGCATGTGATTTACAAATCTGTCTTAAGATCGTGTCTTCCATGAATATCTTGATGTAGAGACAAATTATACGAATGAAATTTTTCTTCTTTTAATAACCGTATTACGCTAGTTTTAGAAATGCCGCTCTCAGACTGAAGTTGTCTTAGATTCACATGTGGATTTTCGTTAACAATACAATACAACATTCCCTTTATTCTATTTTCATTATTAAGAGTTTTAGTCTTAGAATTTTTGCGTGTCTATTTCATGATGGACAATCACGATTAAGAAATGTATCTTTGCGCACTCGAACTGCTTCTCTCAAACATTAGTCACTTTCACCATAAATGAATATCGTAGTCTTCTTTTGCGTTGAATACTCCATTATGAATTACTGACAAATTCCGATACACTAATCGGGATTTCAAGCTACTGAAAGAGATTATCATTAACGATGTAATAAATAATAAACGTCTTTATTTACGTTTATTACAAAGCTCTCGATTGTCGCGTCTTGGCCAAGCTCTGTAATCTCAATAGAGATAAATTTACACGTAAAACTTAAATTTTCAAGAATGTTTCACTGAACGAAAGTTTTCAAGGATTTTCAAATTCTACACGCGTTGAAATTTCTTCACCAATCTGTCTTTTAGACTGAGCAAGTAGACAGATCGATAGAGTGGAGGGGATAGCGCTAGCGATCAGGAAACTAGAGGAAACTAAGAGCCGCCAGTTAGCCACTTCTGCTATACACAATTCTAATATTAATCTTTTTCGACTTTTTTAACGAATTTTCGTGTGTACATTGCGATGGGTTGAATATTTTTTAAAAAGTGTTTTATGCAGTTCAGTCAAGTAAGATATTGTAATGGAATGCAAGTAAGATAAGTAATGGAATCTATAACCTTCTTGGATTCTTTCAACGAATTTTACGATCCGTACATCGCGATGGATTGGATATTCTTTTAAAAAGTGTTTTATGCGGTCCAGTTAAGCACAAGATACTCGTACTGATAGATCGAATGGTACAAGGATTGAAAAGTACTGGAAGGAAAATATATTTGTTGGATGCTACGTGAAATAATGTTTGTAACGACGGCTCGCGAGAAGATAGATATTTGTGAAAGGGAACATGTGGCGAAGATATATAAGGAATAATAGCATGAATTACTGGAAGGCACATGTGCATGATCCGCTTGATTCTTTCAACAAGATTCTGCAACCCATGTATAGCACTCGCGGATATCTGTAATCTTTGAACGCCATCACAACGCGAAATCATTGGTCCTTCGACATGCTCGATTGCAAATACTCTGGAACAAAATTGTATATATAGTTGAATACGAACGTCTGACTGAACGATCCTTCGCTCCTCTTAAGGCAAGAATTTTTTATCAAGGATAATTATTTTTTATTCCATCGTGTTTAATTTTCTAAGAAAATAATATACGTACGTGAGCCACTGGGCAGTAAGATTAGCTATTTGCAAAAGTTTCTTTTATATACTCAGCGATATTTGTTAATGTTCGATGTGAGTAAAAAAAAAAAAAAAAGAAATTAAATGTACGTTCTTTCAACGAAGCCTGTAGGTAAAAACATTTTTAATAAAATAAAAGATACAAATAAATCCGATTAAAAATAAATAGACGTGTTCCGTGTTTATTCTAACCGCATGAAATAGGCTTCGTACAGCGAAGGATGTCATTAAGATTGAAAGAGTCATGGGGAAAGATCTATCATTACCCTGGAAGATAGCAATCAGCCGCGTCGCGTGACAAACATCGCGGTTTACATATCAGGTGGAACACATTAGCAACGCGAACGATCTCCAAAGTACGCGCCATTAAAGCTGGAATGTTGCAACATTTGCGGATAAATTCGTCGAGCGACAAATATTCCGGACTCTCGGGGTTCCGTTCGCTGCTGCGGCTT